TCGAGCTGTTTTGCAAGGAGGAATGGGCAAAAATTTCCGTCTCTCGATGTGCAAAACTGATAGAGACATACCCCAAGTGACTTACAGCTGTAATCGCAGCAAAAGGTGGCGCTACAAAGTATTAACTTAAGGGGGCTGAATAATTTTGCACGCCCAATTTTTCAGTTTTTTTATTTGTTAAAAAAGTTTGAAATAGCCAATAAATTTCGTTCCACTTCATGATTGTGTCCCACTTGTTGTTGATTCTTCACAAAAAATTACAGTTTTATATCTTTATGTTTGAAGCCTGAAATGTGGCAAAAGGTCGCAAAGTTCAAGGGGGCCGAATACTTTCGCAAGGCACTGTATAGGAAGAATTAATTTACAAAATGGTAATTGACTTCAGCTCATAATTTCTTTTTCATGAACAATATTTTACATCATTGTCTAAAATTATTAAAATGGAAATTAAGCTGATGTAGAAAATATACAGAGTTGACAGCCATGCTAGCAGCAATTTGAGCTGTACAGTACTTGTGCTCAGTGGTGCACTGAGCTAAATGCTAACAATAGTAGTAGACCATTTCATTGACTGCTGAAACCTGGCTTGCATGACTAAAAATAACAAACCTCTGAGATGTACATGATCAAATACTTAAGTGTCCTAGAAAGCTATAAATTATAGAAAACAGTGGTAAATTCATTTGATAGCTCGTAGCTGTAGCTCATAACTCATATCTCCAAATAACCCTTTCTTCATGTTTATTCTCAATCTTACTGCAGGGCTGTTTAGTTGACCCCATTTTAAAAAATATCATCTTATTTGTTTTTATCATGTAGTACAGACTTTCTTCACTGGAGCAAATGGACTCCTGATCAGTATTAAAGGTCACAAATTGTGCTCATTTTCAGGTCTATATTGATATTTCAGTGTTCTGCTAGAACATTTACACCCTTGTATGTTCATAATTTCATTAGTTTCCTCAGAGCACCAGTAGCGCCAGACTCTCTTTTCACCTCGGTGTGAAAACATTCTGTTTTAGCTCCTGGGCCCCCTTCCTAAAAGTCCAGTCTGCTCTGACTGGTCAACTCCCACAGTGCTGAACAGGAATCACCTACCAACGCTAAGCCATGTTTCCGGATTACAGGCAACTCCAATCTTCAATGTTACTTGCTAATCCAAAAATTAAACCACCACAGATGTTCAGGTTGGAGCCTGCTACTGTCACACCACTCTTGTTGTCACACCTGGGCAATGTTTTCTAATAGAGAAACACCAGTAACATGTTGACACAAAGTTTTTATTGCTGTTACAATGATGCTAGAGAAACAAGCAAAGTTTCTACCATCCAACCTACTACTCACTTAACCTTTCCTCTGAGCTATGCCACATTGCTGTTCATCTGCTGTTCTCCATGAGAAGATCACCGTGGTGGAGCGATAGCACTAAAAATGGATTTGAGTGGGAGGAAGATCTACAGTATGAAATGAACTGCTGCATCATTTCGTATGATGTCATGAAGAGAGACAAATCTGAATAGCGTGTTCGAGCAGGGGTTTTTACAAATGTGGAAAAAGCAGAACAGGCGGGGACTGCTCTTTTCTCATGTTTTCTGTCTCTACACACACAGGAGGCCCATGTGAAGGGAGATCAGTGGAGATCAGTGAAACATGCAGGCTTTGCGTTCCTCCAAAGACCCATGTCAGTGCCTGAAAAGGAGGGCATGGCAGTCCATTGAGCATGTGTATTTACTCAAATCATAGCAAGGAGCTGATAAGAGAGTTCAACAATAGAGAAAATGGCTACATTTCTTTGGCTCGATAGCAATATGGTTGTGTATTATGTAGCTACAGAATGTTCATATTTGATCAGATCTGTTTCTCCTTGTGTGGCCTAAATTGTTTCATCCTAAACCAATCACATGTCATCCCATCTGTCATGCTCAGTTGTTTCTACTTAGCAGACTGCCACCAATTCAATGTTTTCATCTTCATTTGTGATGATAAATGATTTTTGTCTGTTAGCCTAAATCTATGATAAATAGTGCTTTTACTTTCTTCAACATATGTATTATCTAATGGTCTAAGGATGGTTGTATGTGAGATGCTGTGTAGATAATTTGGTGTAATGGAGATATCAGTAGGTGGTTATGTAAACAATTTGTCAGTCCTTTGTAAAATAAGTAGGAAAGTGAGGGGAACGAGGCAGGGTGCTCAGTAGAGAGGTGGGTGAATGAGGATGGAAAAAGATGAAGAGGGGTCAGGGCTGATTGGATATTTTTTAAGAGCACCAGGAAATAACAATGGTCCCTCAAAGCTTCTCGGTAACCTCCATCAGGATAGGAAGCTGTTCAGTCAGTCATTGTAAGGACAGCTCTCTCTTTACCTCCTTGGGTACTGAACCCAACAGATGTACCAGAGCAGCTGGTTCAAAGCGGCCTGCCTCCTATTTTCATTCCTATCCCTCTGAGTGAACACACATATTTTGCACACAGCTGGGATTTAGTCAGCAAGGTAATTATAGAACAACAGTCAGCCTCCAAACCAACTACACCCCTGAGATGATGATGTAAAAGTGATAGGCTGAGACAGTGAAAGGATACAAGATGCCAAACCTCAGCAATATGCCTGTCAACACCTGTGAGGGTGAAAATGAAAAAGAAGACACATTTAAGAAAAGGAAACATGCGTGCTTTTCAGGGTATAAAGTTACAAAATGGTGGATTTGAGCTAATGAAAATTTATTTTCAGACCAATTGAGAACTGTTAGCAATAGAAACACACTGCAAGTCCATGTTTTTGTTTTTATATGACAACATATGAAGTATGGCTGTGCATGCTTGTATAAAATTTGACAAGTTGTCAGGATTGCAGTCTCACATTATAGCAGAGGTACTACTATATGGTTCATTTCTCTCTCTCTCTCTCTCTCTCTTGATCAGTGGAGGGATGCCATTACAAATAATGAGCTTCCCTTCACCTCACAGTGCTTTGGAACTAGTGAGCAGATTCTTCCACTCACTGTACTCAGGCAGAGGTTTAAGTGTTTTTTTAAACTGTGAGAAAAATTCCCATTTGCAGTGAACAGGCCATTAATGGCTTATGTGCAGGCATACGAAAAGGTCCAAACATTGTAGGGCCCTACGGCCTACTTCAACCGATTGCTGATGGGTTAAAAGTCTTCATCAAAGTGTCCACTGATCAAGCAGGCAGTTTACCATGATCCCACTGGTGTTGGAGTGTAAAAAGTTTGGTTGCTCACTGGGTCACAAACAGGGCAGGAAATTAATTTCTGAATCCAACCAGTTACTGAGTTCAGTCAGTGGAAAAAGTTAGACAGCCACTTTTTATATTTTAGCAGTCAGATGTTTTATGTTTTTTTATTTTTTTATTTATGGATTCATTTACAGCCAGACGGGATATTTCCCAGTGCGTGGCCTACAGTTATAACATTAGGTCACAATCACATTCTACCAGGATTGCTGTTTGAACCAAACTAATAATTTGATAACTACAAACAAAAAAATTTGGGTGTCTTAAAACTTGAATAGGGCTGAAACTGCTGCTGAAACTGTAAGTTTCATTTAATATATTAAGACTATTCAAAACAAAACTATGATTTTGTGTGTAAGAAACACATTGAAGAATTTGCGCATTATCTCTCAAGATTGAATTCAACTCCCAAGGCAAGAAACATTCAAACTCTAGCATCCAGTGTAAGATTCAGTCTGTACGTGTTACTACAAGGAGTTCAGTTATCCACCCTCCTTACAGTTGGATAAGATGTTATAATGTTAAAAATTCTTCAACTACTGAAGAATCTCATTGCTGCTAATGTGTCTCTTCGGCAGACAGTTTTGCTTATAGGCATGCACTTCATCACACAGCACTGTGGGCTAATGACAGGTTGCATGTCAGAATCCACCTCCAAGTAAAACATCCATATAGTCAGTCACTTTTCACAGTGCTTATAGCCAAGGGAGTTAAAAACAGCCTTGAGGTATATTCAATGTGAGCTATTCATGAGGGAGGTGTTAGACACTGCTGCTGTTACTCATTCATCAGAGTTGCATAAATGAGTTACAGGAGGCAACACAGGCTCATTCTTAACATAGACTGAATGCTGGCCATCAGCAGTATAGTTATACCAGGGTTTGTTTGCTTCTTTATAGTTTATAATAGTTTTTTAAATGGATTTCTCACTAGGGAACAACACTATCTTCTCTTTTCTTTTTATAAGTGAATCAAAATAACCGGCAAACTGGATTTAGTTTCAGATTAGGAGTTTAGTTATGTGGTCCATGTATCACTTTCCCTTAGATAAGGAAACTATTATAATACCGGACTGACCGAGAATAAATTTGTGGACACTTAAGCAACTTAGCATTCACATACAAATGACTTTGAAATACTCCTCTTCCTGGCACTTGGAGCAACTGTAGTACCTTTGGGATGTGCCTGATTATTATGTATTGTCTCCATCTGGTGGTGATTAGTGCATAATAATAACCAATATATAAATACCTATAAATTCACAAATTTGTACAGCTAGAGAAATTAACTCTGGAAGCAACAACACAATTTGTGACTATTTTGCACAAGGAGCTGAACATATCACCAAATGTCTCATATCATCACTTGTGTTTTTCTTGATGGATTAATAATTTTTTTACTATAAATTCACACATATGTACAGCTAGAGAAATTAACTCTGAAAGCAACAACACAATTTGTGACAATTTTGCACAAGGACCTGAACATATCACCAAATGTCTCGTATCATCACCAGAAGAGTACACTTGTATTTTTCTTGATGGATTAATAATTTTTTTTACTTTTTCTACTTCCTGTTGTTGTTGCCCAGTTAGATATCAAACAAGGAAATGCTTTATAATTATTTCCATGACATTAACTGGCCTCATACCTCAATAGTTATAATTTCAAAAGGCTAAGAGGAAAATACATGAACAAACAAAACTGAAATGACATTTAATTCTTATATTTTATTGACTGCACAAAACACAAATACTGTTTACATGCATTCAGATTTGTTCACATCTGGCTCTCTCTGGCATCTATTTTCTTTAGAAGTTGTATCAAGTGGACATTATCCTTCCTCTATCTACATAATCACACTCTTATGCTTTAGTATTTCAACAAAGAAAATGAAGTGTTATTGATACCACTTTCAATGAAGGAACTAAACAATGTTGATGGATTACAAAAAGCTGCCTCTTTTCCATTAAAAAGAGAGAAGGAAAACCCCTTCTCTCCAAGTACACTCAGATACAACAGGAACAATGTAGCTTGACCACTAGGGGTCACACTTCATGATCTCTCTGAGGCAGATGGTGGCATAGCAGGAGGAGTCCAGGTCAAAGTTTAAGGTTAGAGTAAGTGAGCCTGCATCTTGCTTCCTTTCTCCTGCCACTTCTCCTCCTCCCTTCCTACTGGCTTCTCTCTGAAGCTGGTAGCAGAGGTTATGAGGCGAGGCCAGCAGAGGTCGGTAGCAGCCAGGCAAATTCAGTTTGAGGCTGCTGATTCTAAAGCGACAGTTATCCAGTCTGTCTCTGGCCAGTCTCTCCTGATACCAAGTCCCCATGGCATTTTCTGGATACTTCACAGTGTTTCCTGGCATTGGTAGTAACACCTGACAGGAAGAAACAAAAACAAACAGATGCAACAGTTGTGATAAAAGTTGAAATTGATGCATTTATAGTTGCGGCATTTCCCTCAATTCCATACTTGTCCTAGTGTGTAAATGCCCTCTTGCTCATCTTTGTCTGTCACCACATGGATCTGGAAAAGCAAAGAAGGGAAAGATCAATAGAACTCACAGTGTGTCCTGTCATTAAGAGATCCCTAAAACACTGTAGAATGTGTCTTTAACTAGTTTATTTCTAAAATGTCCTTGAGCTGCATCACTGAAATCCTGTTACACATTTAGAGTCCCTGTGGATTACAACAGTAGGTAAAATGTCCAGAATGTAACTTTAACATACGCATAAACTCACTTTGAGAGTAAGACAGGATTCAACCACTCATTTCAGCTCTACTCTTGCATTTCCTCTTCTGGACGTATTATTAGCCTTGTTACTGGTATTGTTTAACACTTTGAAACCATATTGATGAGATTTGGGAATTTCCTTCCTGCTTGTTTTAAATTTAAGTTGCATTTTCAATTTATGGAAATGAAGAAACCCAAAAAGTTGACCCTGCATTTTCAATTTATGGAAATGAAGAAAAGAGAAATAACATTGTAAAGGCCCCACATCCTAATCAAAGCATTGTAGTTAAAATATTGGTATATTACATGGACAGCAAATGTCTTTTTTATTTTCTATGCTCTCTTACCTGAGCTGTTCTGGTTTCTCCACTGTTCTCCAGATTGTTTTGCCCTTCCTGCATCCACACCAGGTCTCCTTCCCTAGCACTGTGGCCCAGTGTAGCCAACCTGTGAGCTGCTGCCTCATTCCACACCCTGACGACCACAAACAGACTGATCAGGCCAGTTATCACGATTAAAGAATTAAAGCACTGTGAGCTGACTTTCCCAAACTGCTTGACTCATCATATAAATCCTTTCACTAAAAGAGTAAATAAATCACTCATTTGACACAAAATATTGATGAGTCACAGAAACAACAGCAGATGATACTGGGTTAAACCTAAGCCCAGTTTTTCCCGCTGTATTACCATTATATTTGAATTAGCTAGCTTCAGAATTTCCAAGAAATTAAAATTCTGCAATCTTTGAGAATCACAGTTATCTGACAGTACTAACTACTGTTCTCTGGACATTTTCAGAATACTTGAAGTCTCCTCTAATCATCTGGCTGAAAAAAACTCATCTGCAAGATTACAAAAAGATCCCAAGTGGTGCCTCTTTGTTTATATGTTTGAATTTTATGTGTAAATATGTTCTGATATTTTGCTTGCATTTTACAAAAAGAGCAAGGACGTCATCTATTAGTTACCCGGATAGAATAGAATGTCTCAATTTAGAAAATTGGTTAAAAAACAAGTCAGAAACCTGGTCTTTGAGGATTCTGAAGTGAATGGGACAGTCTAGCCTGTGGAAAGTTAATAAATAATATTGTCACCTCTGTCAAAGTGCAAATAAATAATGTTCGTATCTGCTGGAATGGAGCGGCTCTATATCTAACAGTAAAATGCTAATATGTCTGTGTTTGAACTGGGCAGTTTTTGGGTGTTTCTATAGCAGATGACCTGCTGCAGTAGGCGTGTGGGTAGAAGACTCTCATGCTGTGGGGCAAGCTGAGCCAGGCTTTGGCACAACCATCTGGACCTGTGCCGTAACGGTTCAGGGCCCGTAGCATCAGCCGCTCCCTGGCCTTGGACAATGGCATCATTGCCAAAGACTCCTTAGCATTATCTGGTGTGGAGAAACAGGAAAGACAAAAGTTAAAACAAAAAGATTAACTCAATTTATGAATCTTGTCAAACTATTTGTTACATTAGCTGCTCTGAACACTATTAAAACATTATCTACAAAATATGTATTTTAGTAAAATTCTTCAAAATACAGGAACTACATAATTGCTGTAATATTAACTACAAAAGCATTAAAAACACCAACAAACAGTTGGTTTTTAAACTACTTTCTGCACACTCAATGTTAAAAAAGTCTTGGGAAGCAACTTTCACATCATCTTGGATCATTTTGAGGCAAAAAAGAAACTGGTTGTGTGGAATCAATTTGTTAATCATGTGTGTATGTTAATTACATATGTATTGCTAATGAATTATGAGTAGGCTGTTGCTGAGAAAAGCAGAAATCATTAAATACTGTGTGACCAAACACTGGAGCTATGTGCCCCAGGCCTTGACTTTTTTTTTTTAGAAAAACAAAAGTTTGTTGCTCACTGAAACTTTTACTCCCCTTCCTCTTCTATAGCTGATTTTTCTGTACCTGTTTTTTTCTGAGTATAAAGAACTTCCTGACTTTTCGGGAGCACTCTTTTGTGCCCTTCTTCTCATGTGTACTTTGAGCCCTTCTGAAGCATAGACTTATAACAGCTCTTACCTGTTTGGAGGAAGTGTCTCTTTGCGTGGCTCTGAGGCTCATCGCCCTCATCAGGAGTGAAGAAGAGATGCACAGCACTCACCTGACACACACACACACAAAGACATACTGTACATACATGATTATTTTACTAGAATGAGACTGTTCCACCTTGCAGAGATGTTGCAGACCTCAAGGACCCACATTACTTTAGCAATAGCAGTCATGTATAGGTTGCAGCAGTATACCAGTTTCATGGTATACCATGGTATGAAAATTGATGGTTATCATACAGTGCACATCTGCTTATTACTGGTATTGGAAAAAAATCACAATGCATGTGCACCTTTCTTTCCCAACTGCCTGTCAGAATCTGCAATGGGCACTGCATGCATACATGCAGTGGACAAATAGCAGAGAGAAGGAGGCTGGAATCACCAAACTCCATCCACCAAAAAAGAAATTAAAATCAGCAGCACATGATTACTTCGGATATTTCAAAAATTAACACCTTCAAGAACACCATCCCTCCCTACAGATCAAAGTATGTCCAATTTATAACTTTAATCCAAAATAATAAACCATGTGAGCGTATAAACGTAGGTCATAAAATGTGCAATCGAAATAATTTCCCGCATCGTCTGTTCGTTCGCTAATCTCTGACTTACAGAAGAACTCATACCGATCCTGATGTGACCCCAGAAACACACACACACAAACTTTCCTGGCTCACATGAGTGTGTGTGTGCATGCGCATAAGTGCTGTTAATGTAATGACATAATACTCTATATAATAGTATAACAGTATAGTATAGAATTTTTCTGCATTGAGAAGCCTACATCTACTTTTAATACTTTAAGTACATTTTTGTGATAATACTTAACATTTTCAATGCAAGGCTTTTACCTGTAACAAAGTAGGCTACTTTTACTTAAGTAAATGATGTGAATACTTCCTCTACTACTTGTGCTAAGATGCAAACAAACATGCTTTAGGTAGATGCTTTTTTTACACTGATGTTTATAATTCTGTTTATTCTTCAGGGTCAAACTAGTGCTGCAATCCAGCTTAATCAGGTGTCACAGTCACTTGTAATTAAAAAACACCTGTTATCATTCCTTTGAGGGTCCTTGTACAGTAGCTGATAATAATAGTAATTGTGTAATACTGTGAAACTGTGATATTTTCTGAGAGTTATCTTACTGTGAAAATCTCATACCACTGCTACCCTAGCCATGTATATGATAAATATCACTTACCATGTCTTCTCTGAGTAAAGCCAGTCCTACTTGGTCGGAATGAATGTTCTGTCCGCTCCCAAACCTCTGTGGTCCATAGTAATTGACAAAGCCTCTGGTCTGCAAAGACAGATGGCCAAGGTGAATGTGGCAGTGGCTGTCTGTTGGCTAGTTTGAAAAACCGCAAGTGTAAACATCAAAATGAGACTTGTTCTGTGTGTTTTGGACAAGAGTCGTTACATTTTTCAGTACAAGAGTAAAGGCATGCATGTGACAACATGCACTACTGTAAGCATACACTGCTGAAAAAGTCTGAATGTCTGCAAAAAAGTAGAACAATACCTTGACATTCTCCACTGCTTCCTTTACCAGCGCTGCCAGGCAAGTGTGTGTGTCTACGTCAGAGGAGCACGTGCCACCATCCCCGTGTGGTCTCAGGTCACGGACCACCAGGTCAAAGTGGTTCCCCTGCAGTCGTCCAAGTCTGAGAGGCTCTCTCACAGAGCGGACCTGAGACAGACGCATCCCTCTGTTCTCAAACTCTGCTGTCTTCTCTTTCAGTCTAATGGTATATAACATTAAATAATTAAATGTGTGGGTGGAATAGGAAATAGGAAAACAGATCTCAGATTCACTCTCTTGCCAGTTTGTGACTAATACATAAATGATGTCCAAACCAACCAAATCCTGGAAAAGAAATGCAGCACTACCGTTGAGGAGAGACCTTTTTCACCACCATGGACTGGTAGGTGATGGCTCTTTTATCCTTGATCCCAGCATAGGTGAAGTCTGACGGTAGGACCCTGAGAGCTGCTGCCATGTAGCTGATGGCCTCCAGAGTCTCCAGGTTCTCCTTACACAGAGTGAAAGCTGATAGAGAGGACACAGAAACACAACATGGCTTTGTTTTACTCTAACATTTGTGGTTTTATTAGTGTGATATCACAGTAAATTGAAGAACTTCAGTTTTGAACTCTTGATTATGTAAAATAATCAATTTGAAGATGTCACCTTGGGCTCTAGGACCTTTTTTTTTGCAGTATTTCCAAAATTAAATGTGTATTGATTTATTGTGAAAATAACCAACAATGAAAAACCATACCAGTGTAAATATCTTCTTCTTCACGCTCTTCTGTACTTCTCTTCTTTGGCCTCTTTCGCTCTCTCAGTCTCACTGAGATTGCTGTCCTCCCCTGGTCACTGAAGCTTTTAGTCTCTACCAGTTTCCCAAATCTTTGGCTCAGGAAGTGGTGGACCGCTGTCCTGTGCTCCTTGTTGTCATCAGGTCCAAATGTATAGGACGAGCCTCGCACTTTGGCATCTATGAACCTGAAGAAGTCCTCTGCTTCGTCCTCTGTGACCAGCTGGGACAATGCTCGGTAATCTGGGTCTTCCCTCACTCTGATCTCAGGCTGAATGGTGACAGTCATGAGGAAGGGGAAGCGATGTCTGACAGCCCGGTGGACATTAGCTCTGTGGTGTTTGTCTGCAAATGATCCTAGGGATAACTCCTGCTTTGTTGGCTTTTCATCTTTAAGAGTCAACACAAACTGCTCTAACTCGTCACTGACTGACTGGCCTAGAATCACACCTAAATCAAAACCCTCTGGACTAGGTAGGGCTACATCTACCCCACAATCAGCTAAGACCTCTGTATCCTGTAAGACTGAATGCTTATCCTCTTTACACACTGTGCTTGTTTCAAAGTTTTTATATGAGGCGGCACAGTCTGGTGTCTGTGTGGCTGCTACTGTATTAACCTGCTGTCCGTTGATGTCTATCTCTGTCACCACAAAGTCTTTGATAAAGTTTTTGATGCTTCCAAGAAAACCTACATGGCTTGATAAGAAGCATGCAGGAACGTTTACAGTATCAATGTCCTGCTTCATCGTTGTCACTTGATCCAAACACTGTAGGGTTTCCACTGAGAGAAGAAAAGGACAGAAATAAAAGAAAAACAAGGCAAATTTATTTACATAGCGCGATTCATACACTTAAGGTGATTAGAACACTTTAAGTTACATGTATATCTAAAGGTAAAGTAGAAACATACCAATAAAAACAATGAGTTACATAAATACAAGGCAATTAATACATATGACAGCAGTAGTCTAAAGAATACAAGGGGTTTACGCCTGCTTTATTTTTGATTTAACTAGCGCGGGTTAAAAATGTGAAATAACCCCGTCTATTAACATTAATATCCGTAATGTTATCCTACACCGTTATCTTACTTCGACGTTGGTAACAGCGAGCTGTATCCACTATTAACTGAGAAAATCAAGCACATTACTGTATTTATGTTGGAATATATATGTACTACGAAGGCATAATAACTGTCCATTTACTCAGCAAATCTCTGTGCGATGTGTATCGTAAACGAGGAGCTTGTGAGGTAAACACAACCACGCTGAAAACAATTCGATGTACTTCCGCGTCATGTGACTGAATCATGTGACTTTTCTTAACGGGATCGACAACAATAACGCCTTATATCTTGTTAGAAAGTCAAACGGGCAAAACAACAAATAAATAAAACACACAAAATAACCACAAAGATACACAAAACAACAACAAAGGACTGCTAAACAACCGCAAAGAGACACAAATTGGACAAATGCAAATGCAAAACAGCTACTAGGTGATTAAAAAAAACCCACAAACAAATTAGTCCATGGGCCCAGGCCCCATTTTCCACTAATTGGTACCACTGAAGGTGGCAAATTCTAGTTTGATTTTTTTTTTAAGTCCATATCTCTAAATGATATTACAGCATGATAACCTTTTGTTAGTGGTAGCTTTGTCACAGAAATCAGCCCTCAATGACACTAACCGTTGAGCCAAAGAATGAAAATATCTTGTAACTTTATTTGAACAGAACATGTCATACAAAAAAACACAAGTATATTTTGTTCATTAACTTATTTGTTCACTGCAAACTGTTTGTTTATTCCTCATCATCATCATCATCATCTAGTTTCATGACATCAGTTTCCTCCTCCTCCTCCTTCCTCTGATTGCTGCAGGTTTGTAGCTTGCACATTTCTGTGCACTTTAATTTGTTGGCAAGACAGGAACAGTCGGGAAGCTTGCAGGTCCGTGAACACTTGCAGGCCATAAGCTCCAGAACAGCCATTGGTGCTGGGGGTCCCCGCATCCAGTCTAACATCAGCATACCTGTACAAATAAGTGAAAGATATTTCTCATCCATTTCAGTGAGGTGTCTAAATGTCTAGAAATTAAAAATGTATACTATTTTATTAGTTATTAGAAAATATAATTGGTTTTACTTATGATAAGCATACCTTTGTCATCAGTTGTCCATCCATGTCCTTTTGGTTCGGGTATGTCTGGCTGTCCTTCCAGACAGTGCCTCCAGACACCTGCTTGGTAATTGGCATGCTGTATATGCAGCATTAAGCAATTCCTGCAAGGGGGAAGTAGGCTGGACTCCACTTCACCCCTTTTGGTACAGAATAGCAAGTAATGTAGATCATTGACATCACATACATTAGATGATGGTGCATACATCCTGCAGACAAATGATTCCATGTTGCTGTACAATTCCTCTGATACATCCCAGGATGTTCCCAGACATTTGAAGGACTCTTGGAATGTCCCGTTTCCTTTCACGAGTTTCAGAGCGGTAAGTTTTCTTTGTCCTGCAAAAGCACTTACGCTATCGCAACCTGTAAAGGCATGTACCCCTTTAAGAGCTTCACATAGGTCATCTCCAAAGAGCTGAGCAAGGTTGCTGATGTTGATGTACCTTGTTCAATTCTGAGTGTCAGATTTCTGATAAAGGGGACAGTTTATCTTCTTACTGCATCCAAGACAAAGAATCATGACATCCGTATCCTCACTCACAATAACTGTAGTTTGACAGCCATTCTGGCTAGCATGACTTGCATGTAGGAGCATACGGGTATCTGCCTCCTCATGGGAAGATTTCAGCTCTTCAACAACATTCCAGTCTTTTTTGGTCAGACAATAGCATCTCTCTCCACAGGTTGTAAATAGCTGCTTGTCCTGAAGCTTCACTCGGTTCTCTGGTAGCTTCCACTGGTCCACGATGAATGTTATCAAGGCTGTTTTACTGTCTGAATTACTTAACAGCTTTCTCCACTGCACTACATTGTGTCCCGGGGCAATGTTCTTCCACTGAGTGCTACTTGCTGAACCACGATTGTATCTCTCAGCATTCTTGACTGATGTTTTCCAGTACACATCAAACACCACATCTATCCGCTTACTGCTTCTTCCGTCATGCAATGCTAGGTTCAGCACAAAACCAGCAATCTCTCCAAAAGTCTTCCCATCACCTTTTAGTTTCTGAACAAGGCTCATTCCATCAATGATGCATGCAGAGTGCTTTCCAGTATCTTCAACCGATGATGCTGATTTCTCTAACTCTCTTGCAAGAGCAGCCTTATTGGTTTTACGCAATGAGCCATCTGGATTTGAGAGTGCCCAAGGTAGTGGACCAAGTGGATGAGGGAGGACATCTTTAATGTGAAGTTCTCTACTTTGGAAAGCAATGATCAAAGAATGAATGAATGATCATATGCCCAAAGAGATTTCTGTCAGCTTTCAATACCACATCTTTCTTATGTGCTTGTTTTACTCTAGCACTTGTCTTTATGCTTGAGAACGTCTTCAGATTCTGTTTTCGCATTTTGTCACGGAACTTGGTTGCAGGTGACTCTTTCTCTAAATGTTCACTTCTGAACATCTGGTATGCTTGCTCTCCAGTCCGGTGAGCTTGCAGCAGATTGCTGGATATGTCTGGAGACACTGCCATTCCTGTGGAAAGACTAATGATATCAGACTGAGCTGGACCTAGAGGGTTTACCCAGCTTCTCTCTATAAGTTCTACAAAGGCATTTACATCTGCTATATCCTTCTCTATCCTGGGCTTCTGTAAATCTTGATGACTGAAACACTCTCTAGACTCATTCCCTGTCATGTTCCTGAGTTGCCTCAGATACTGACTTCTGTTTTCTGAAGTGAGATAGTATCTGGTGACTGCTCCAGCTTTTAGGCTGAAACCCTTGGTTCCACCAGCTGTCTGTGTGTCCTTGTTTACAGTCTCCTCAATTGCCTGGTCTACCGGAATCTTTCCAAAGAGATTGTTCCTGCCCAACTGGACAGAAAAACCACTCTCTATAAAGTGTGCATGAACACCAGGATGATCCACCTCCAGGCGAGACATTTGAGCATAGTAGTATGTCAGATATCTGGCATAGTTTAGCTTATCATAAGCAAAACACCATGGAATGATTGCTCTAATTGCTGCAAGATGCATCATCCACTTACCCTCTCTTGATGCCCGAATAAGACTAAGCACAATCTCAACCATGTCCACATAAGACATCCAGAAGGCAGACAGGGGACCATTGTTTTCTCTAAGGTAGCCGAGGAACTCGCTGAATCGTGCCAAAATGCATTGACTTGAATCTTGCTCGAGGATTCCCTGAAATCTTTTCTGAGATATTTCTTCACACAGGTTTTCAACTGCTTTTAGAGTAGCTTCCAAGTGAATTAGATCATCATGATGATTCTGTTCTAACCATGGATGAAAACCTTTCCATGCTAGTCTCAGGAAAGCTTCATAGAGCAGCTTGTGCAGCCTTACTGCTTGATTGTACCTGTGACCATCAATATTCCCTGAAATTGAGCCATCAGCTACCACTCCTGCCTCCACACAAAGGTCTCTTACACCAGCATCTGCAAACTGTTTTCCAATTGTTGCCATGAATGTACAGGTGGTATGGAAGACCCCCATTCTAAGGATGATGCTCTTGAATAGCTCCTGGTGTTTCAAGGTAATTTCTGCAGCTTTGGCATATAATGCCTGATCAAAAACAACAACAATGTTGTTGAGCTGCAAAGACTTCATGATGTTTATGGGCTGGTGAAGTACCTCATGTACTGTTGATAACTGTGTAGCTGGAGCATTGATTGTGGGCACATAGCCTATACTAACATCTTGTACACTTGTATCATTGTGCGTGAGGATGTTGAACCCAGTCCAGCTGCAAACATCTTTGTTGGTAAAATGAGCCATTAGCCACATGTGGTTTCTGCCTGCTGCACCCTCTAGCAAGGAGGCATGATTGGTGTCAACCGTCTGTATAACAGGAGGATTGGCATGCTCTCCTGCATTGTAAATGGGAAGTACCATCTCTACTGCTTCAATGCTTCTCTTCTTGGTTTTGGGGATGCAAGGGAAAGCTCTGGTCTCAACAGGATGATCAGCAATAGGTTTTTTTTGCACAGCAATTCCATTCACTCTGTGATGTCCCTTCACCACTGATTGTCTCCTCTAGTCTGTCTATATTGTCCCATGCCAATGTTGTGAACATACCGGGCTTGATGTTTTGTGGTAGTGGGATGGCATCTGCACTTGCTGCTTGCTTCTGAAGGCAGAGGGCTGTCAATTTCTTCTACCTGAGAATATGAAACACCATGGCCGAGTCTATTCAGTATCTTTATCAGTTCCACGTTTCCAGTGAGTGACTTGACAGCAAAGGGCAACACAATCTGTTTTGTAGGCTTGACTTTGCCGCAAGTAACAGCATAAACTAGGTCTTGGCTGAATGAAGCTGTGAGCCTTTGGACCCTCTGGGATGGGTTATCACCTACTTTCGATGACCCTGTTAGGAGTGTCTGAAGAAACCCCACTAGAGATGTAGGAGTGCTGTTCATCATCTCAAGATCTGACGCATGTGGTGGCCATGCTTGAGTAATATCTTGGTTCCAAATATCATCTCTGATCTTCAGTGCCGCTTGCGATATGATGTCTTCGCTAATGCTTGATTTGTGCTCCTTCATCTTTTAGTTTCTGGCAAACTGTTACAAGTTCATCCATTATCAAATTGTCAGGGTATACCAACAGCTTTCCTCTGTCATTACAGTATGTATGATGTGTAAAGATTCACCAAATTCAGCTTCAGCCTTGTGACGTAGGTGTTTCTTTGTAGAAGGTGCCACTTGTGTTGCACCACATTCAGCCATTTCTGTCATCAGTTTAGAGGCCAGGTCTGTGAATGGTACACACTGTAGGATGTTCAATCAGTCCTTCCCTAATGTATGCAAAAACTTTGGAGAGCACCATTCTTTCTGCTGCTTCATAATGACATTCTGCTTGGTCCAAATTAAGTTCACCTTTGTCTATGTCTGTACTTAGATCCTTTGTATACACCCTGTAGCAGGATCTGTGATAATG